CGCTCTGATGATGTCCGTCATATGACGGACAAAAGCTTAGCACCTTTTCACCGGAATCGAAGGAGATTGCATGAATCTTCCAGTAAAGCGAATCGACAGCTGGTCAAGAGGAATCCGCCGTCGTCTTCTGGTGGAACCGACCTTCCAATCTCTTCATCCAACACTTTCACTCGAAATGCAAGTAAGCTCAACAACTAGGGATGTAGTCAATCGTAATAGCAAATATAAATTTGCTTCGTCGATAATCCCACTACAAATATTAGTATGGAATGGATCTAGGTACGTCTGCCCTGTGACCCATTGGCATCCGTAATGGAGTGGCGCTGTGGTAACATCAGAAATAAACGCCACACCCTACCAGGGCTCGGTTCCAATTGAGGGTTCTGATGAGATCCAGGCGAGACCGAAACTGTAGTACAGCCCAGATTAGAATGCCTTTTTGGAAGCAAGGCTATTAAACTCCAATTCATTATGAGGCTCACTCTTCTGAGTGCGTTCAAATTCAACAATCCATTCTTATTCACCTTACGCGGCCTAGGGTGATGATTATTCTTATCATAGATCCAGTAATTACTAATCCTACACTTTCCAGTTACTGTTTTTAATTTGTGTTTGTTAAATTAATTAAAATCCGCCTCAATAGCATTTATTCAGCCAACAAGCCAGCATCAAATATTCACTCTAAATTCATTATCTACTTATCATTACAGAATGAGCACAGGTCTATCAGGATCTAATGAGTCTTTAAAAACATTCATAATAAATACCAATTCGTGACTTTTTGTGATTCCTTCTCCTCAGTAGTGAACGTTCTAAATCATGTTCAAATGACCAACCTATCCAGCAGATTCCTCTTCACCTAAATGCTCCAAAAGGCTTAAATCCCCCGACCAATGGTATCTCTTCACGTCGCAATTCCGCCCGCCCTGAACGGACCTGGAAACGGTCATTTGATGCCAACTTTACGGATCACTGTATTGACCCAATCAGTCGGCCCCCTGCCAGTTATCCATGCGCTTTGTCATGCGCCCCATATTCTGTAGGCCAAGCCAAAGCTTATGGAGCCTCTCGTGGGCAGCTGGTCATCAGACCTCAGCTTGCGATTCTGCCGGTTGCCGATCTTTTAGATGCCTGGCCAACGACCCTCAGACGCCCTCCTGTCAGTCCTTTGCCTATCGACCAAGCAGGCCTCGCCCAGTTGGCAGCTCCAGATGGTCAGAAATCTCTTCCTGGCAGTCTGGCTGCGGAAGTGGATCCGGAGAGTGAAGGTCTTTCATCCTTGACTCTGCAGACCACTAACGGGGGCAACTGCAATGCTGCGTCGACTGAGCTAACTCGAGCACCAAAACAGCAGACTCCACTAACTCCCGCAAGTGGTGTTGACCCTGTTGCCGACATTTGGATACATCCTCCCTCCTCTTCTCTCTTCTACTCGCATGTTGACGCGCCGATGGCCAGTTTTCATGACTACTCAGATTCACTGGATCTCATCGCGGCAGTGAAGTCTGCCGTGGCATCAACGACGATAGTGGAGCATTTTCGGCCTGAAGAGATGGTCTTGAAAATAGGCAGGGTGCCGGTAGCAGGACCGTGCAGTAGGACGAAAGGTTTGGCTATCTGTGTATGTTGCGAGAATGCACACCGACCAAGAACCGTCCTTCATGCAAATAAGGAATTAGGTAATGTCAGAATGTATAGAGAACTTTCTACTTTACTAGTTTGGCCTGTAACCTTTGTTTAATATTAATAATGACAAAAATGCTAATGCAAATAACAATAGTGTTGAGGATTATATTTATATTAATAATAATGGTTGTAGTAGTGTTTCTGATAGTAGTAGTGGTGGCGACAGAAGTTGTAGTTGTAGTGGTGGAAGTAGCATTACTTCTGGTTGCAGTATAGTATAATCATAATCTCACATACTTCTACTTTGTAAACTTTAATTGTATTTCAAAGTGTCACTGAACTTAGCTTAAGACTTGCCGAACAGCCTGACAAGAGCACATACTGACTAAATAGGACTTGTTAGGCAAGGGTATTCTCAAGTTATTTCCTCATATAATATACCAACCTCGTCATAATTACATCTGATGCATAGTTAGATGACACCAAAATGATAATGTTTTCTAGCAGTGGACCCTTGAGATGGTACATTCCCAGAAATTTCGCTGGCATCGTAATAAGTGAAAAACACCTATTCAAAGTGACTAGTAAAGGCAATCCTGGATGATTGACCATGTACACTCTTCGAAGTCATCTAGACACAACATTTGGATTGCGAAAACAGAACTAAATCATCTGCCAGATAATCGATTTAAGGGAGTAGTAATGCTGTGTTTAGACTATTTAATTACTTTCATCTTATTTTTAACTCGCATTACATACATATTGACTAACAAACCATTTTCTCTAACCCGACTCGGGCCTTAAAGTCCACGAAGCTTATTATATTATGCAGTAAAATAGTCTGAAGTTTGCTGGGATGTGTCAGACTAGGTTATCATCCGCTAATTGATGGTCTACTGTATATATAGTTGCTTTGCTACTCTAACTAGACAAAGAGAATGAAGGTAAAATGTAAAATATCAGGCAGTATCACTGTCCAACCTGTTTTCACCAGAAAAAGAGCAAAAATATGGAACCTTCATTCAGTATATCCAATCGCCAGATAAGAAAGCCATATTGATAGCTCAAAATACATAAATAAGATTTGCTCAATTCTTTTGGCTTATTGCCATCCTCCTTTAGTCGTCTTTAACATTCGAATAAACAACCTCCATAGAACTTCGTTATTTTTTTTATTTGAAGACTCAAAATCGAGTTTTCCCATAACAATATTAGTGGACCTGACGAAGTCATTATATTATAGTTATTCTTGCTTTCCAAAGGATTTTCACATTCAGGATAAAGTTTAGAGTAGTTTTCGCCCTATGAAAATATTTCATTATCATTTCTTAATCACCCTAAGCAACCCAGTATAATTAAGTGGGCCGACCTCGGGAATTATGATAACTACTATAGCAGAAGAATTCTAACAAGATGCGTTCAACTAAGTTCCCCTGACAACACAACCAAGTTGTGAAAACGAGCTCAGCACACTTCTTTACATCTAAAGGAGTCTGCGATCAAACCAAAGGCCACACCATCTTGGTCTTCACATCTTCTACCAATTTTATTAAGTTATTAATCAAGATTTACCGATATTTTAGGTCTACACTCACTGCATAAATAAGCAAGCTCCGGCAATTGTGGGGAAGACTTATATTGTAGGTATATTATTTTAGAGAGGAGTACTTTTGCTCATCGTTCATCGCAGTTTGAGACGAATCTCTATCGAACTGAAACGTGCTATGGGGATTTCGTATTTTGAAGATGAGCGGTTGTCATTTTGCGGAATTTTAGCCTAATATATTGGTACAAACAAAATATAATTTGTAAAATAGAAAATGGTAAAAGCAAAATGAATACACCTAAATATTACTTAAATATATGAATAATTAACTTAAATGATTAGCTGATAGTCAATAAAATTGATAATATAAATATTACTAAGAATAAATTTAGTAAATTAATTAATAATTTTAATTAATTTAGTAAATTGATATATTTTAAGCAGTAGTAATAACATATAAATAGTCTTAGAATCTAATGGATCATCTAGGCTCTGAAACTTACTGTTAAACTTTTTAGCATCCAATGCTCAGCCATCTGTGATTTTGGCGACATATTTATAGTAATTGTTAATTGAAATAAATTTAATTTATTTTTTCTTACAGGATTCAATGAACCGGAACTAAAATGCAACAAGAACCTTCTTAAGAACATGGCAGTTGAGAAAAAGTTGCCTACATCCCATCACTTAAATGATTTTTCAACAAATCCTTCTAGTAAACAAGGATCGTTAACTTTGTGCCCCACCTGTTGGCAGACAAGAGATCTACTCGAAAATGCCCAATATCAAAATACCTCGAATACCAACAATTCAGCCAAACATAATATCCAACATAATCATTCTTCATCTCAAAAGTCTCTTTTTGGGGAACCAATAAGCCTGAAAGATTATACTCTTGAGCCTACTTATTCCTCTCACTCTGCTTATATTAGTCAAAGTAGCCAGCAGCATGTTGTTAGAAGTTCAAATGTTGCTGCAATTGATGAAAATATGGACTCAGTTATCAACTCAAATGGCACGCATAAGGTCACTTCTTCACGAGCCGTTTACAAAACTCAGGATGTTAATTATGGGAATCTTCATCAACTCCAAAGTTCCCTCAAAATATCCCGAAGATCGCCCATTTCTAAGATCTCAACGATTCCTCTCATCAACGAGTCTGACTCATTTCCTCTGGGTACTGACAACTTTTCTAGGGCCTCAATTTACTCTAACACGGCCGTAGGCCCATCTTTGAGCTCTGCACTAGGAACGAAAGTTTCTACTTCCAGATCCTGGTCAGTGTTGAACTTCTCTTCACTTCCCTCTTTGATTCGCTCTATGTCAAGCACCCCGAGTGGGCCATTCCGACAAGCAAACTATGTTTCGCACCGAGTGCCTACACTATCTACAACAATTCATTCCACTTCGTCAGGTGACTTGATTTTGAATAGATGAATTCCTTAATACTATTTGAATAATAGTAGGCTCATATAATAGCTGTATTTACCCTATTTCGTTTAAGCTGATGGAGAACTGGTAGGCTCACAGTTCACCTGGTGGGATGCAAATGCACTCGCCTACAATTTTATTCGAAGCTCCAATTCATATTTACAGTGACGCATAACTCGGTGCACTCAAAATTGGCTCAATACCTGGATGGCACGGATAGTCATGAGGAAATCGGCATTTATTATGAATAGTTTGTTCACTTGCAGTCTAAACAAGCAAAAGAAAAACTCCGCCAAGGTTGGGCAATTAATGAAGGGTAGTTTATATTTACTCCTTCCAATTGTCAGTCTGTCAGACCTTTTTAAGAATTTATCTCCATTTTTTGATAGTCCATATGTATTGTGGGGGATACTTTCATTACGTAGAAAAAGAGATTTGTAGGTTGATCTCACCAGAAGACGACAGCCAATTCCCGTTGTACTGAGACCTTCGCTTTAGTCCATCATATGATGAACATCATAAGAGCTGGAACTCATTTTTGTAAAAGTCTTACGATAGCACTAGGTCAAGAAGACTATCCGGCTCTATTTTACAAAGAGATATGACATAAAAAAGCGAAAATGAATATGCATACATAAATATGGAATTGTTTGGCTAATTATCCATTATATTGGTCGAGTGTGCGTGTGTGTGCTGACGTCTGTAATTAATATCGGTCCTTAATTGGAATGATCAAAAAATCTAATGTCAGACTTCAGCCATCAAGGCTTAATGACTCAACAAAAATCCATGACCGAGATTGTGTAAGTCAGCAATCAACTCTGGTTGAGATAATGAGATGTAAGCTTGTGAGCATGTAGGTCAGGCTACGCAAACACTTTTCCTAAACTCTCAGTCTATGGTCGTTAAGGTTTAACCACTCGGTGAAAGACATAACTGGAGCTGCGTAATTTGGGAAGTCTGGTTTGGTTGATGAGCTTAATCTTACATGTTGGAGGAGTGTGAGTAAAGTTACAACCATCATTGAGCTGACAATTTGAGTCGTCTTTTTTAGCAGAGCGGCTCAACAGCCTCTCCTTCAATCTATCAATCAAGCATAATTAGTTCTTACTTAAATTCTTATCACCATTCCTCACATTCAACTTATTCACTAAGCTATTAATTTCTATGGCCTGCCTTATTTTACTTTTAACAACAGACGCACCATAATCAGCAAACCTACTCGTTTGAGACCATTCTAGTTCATGGTCTGTCTCTGACGTGAATTCGGTCACTTCTGATCGTTGGATCCAGTTCCCCTTACAGGCAATTTTGTGTTCCCTCAATCTTTGTTGTCTCATCAACATAAGGTTGACCACACGAGCATGCAATCTTGCAGCAGCCTGATCATGATAATGGGTCGCATTTCTCTCTAAAAGATGGCATAACAGAACAAAGTTTGAGGGTTTTTTTAAACACCGTTTTTAACTCCACTTTCTCACTAATTCGCTTATCTTCTTAGAAAGAAGATATGATGGCAAAACTAGGACATGAGAAAAGGTCTCAACTTGTCTATCTTTGATTAATAGTCTCCATCTGAAAATTTATTCTTCAGCAAAGAGATATTCTTCTCAATTAGGCTCAAATGACAATTCTTTTTTTGGAATAAATCTTTCAGCCGTGTCAACTCTTTAGTCAACTGGTTGCTATTCACTAGTCTCATACTCCTAATAATCAATAACTTCAAAATGCCAACGTTATTTTTGTAATTATGGTTGGAATGAAAATTAAGAAAATAGTCAATATACCTTGGCTCTCTATAAACATCTCTTTCTAACTTACCCTATTCTCTAATGATTAGAACATCCAAAGAGGGTAAGGACCTATGCTCTTCTATTTCCATTGTAAACCAAATGTTTCTTTTGTATTGGTTAAGTAAAGATAGGAAACTAGCTAAACTTTCCTTACCATGAGGCCAGATGACAAAATATTCATCCATATATCTGACCCACAATTTTGGGGTTAGTATTACCTCTTCCGATTAGTGTCCCCTCAGTGATGGTTCTAACTTTACTCACACTAGTCCAGCATGTTAGATTATGTTCATAACCCAAATTACACTTACCAGAGTACGCAGCCCCAGTTATATCTTTCTTTGGGTGATTAAACCTTAACGAGAGAGGACAAATGGTTTCGTGAACTGATTTACACGCTTACAAGCTTACATCTCATTATCTCAACCAGAGTTGTTGATTGACTTACGCAGTCTCGGTCATGGCTTTTTCCTGTGTCATTAAGCCTTGATGGCTAGAATCTGACATTAGCCTTTTTTGATCACTATGATTTAGGACCGGTATTAATTATAGACGTGGACACACACACACACACATGCTCAAGCAAAATAATTAGTCAAACTATTCCATATTTATCTATGCCTATTCATTTTCGTTTTTTTATATCTTACCACTTGGTAAGATTGAACCGGATAGTCTTTTTGACTTAGGGTTATCGTAAAACTTTTACAAAAATGAGTTCCAGCTCTGATGATGTCCATCTTATAATGGACGAAAGCTAAATCAGTTTCAC